GGTGGAAGTGAAGGAGGTGGTGGTGGTGGTTGGTGGTGGTGGTGATAGCGACGGTGGTTAAAACGAAAGCGTAGAAAAGAGGCGAAAGAAAAGGGTAGAACGAAGAGGAATTGATAGAAAGAGAAAAGAAGACAGTAGTGAGTGTAAGGATGGCGGACACGAGTGAACAACAAACATTATCAGAACCGCATACGAACGGAGTAATGGACGGTCTAACGGAGGAAGAGAAGAGTAAAATGCGACCTGCGGATATTGATGCTGTAAGTTACTTAAGCAAAGAAAAATAAAATGACATAAAATAAAATAATGCCCGTTCGTTGTTTTCTTTTGTTTAGGATATGAGGGAAATGGAGAGGAGGAAGAGAGTTGAATTAATGATGAATTCGCGACTCTTTCGAGAAGAACTGGAACGCATAATCGAGATACAAATGAAAGATGGTGCTGGACCATCGGGTCTGCTACAGCAAATCTCTGACATGATGGGTGCACAAGGTGCTCGGTTTAACGCGAACGTGTTTAAAAGTAAGTTGTTTAAATGTTAACATGTGCTAGAATGTTTTATCAAAGGGAACTAACTAATTTGGTTACAGATTCAAATTGTGTATTACCTATTAACGACATACGCGGTGTCGAAAGTATGGGTTACGCAAAGGGAGAGAAACTGTTACGCTGCAAATTGGCAGCAATATTTAGACTACTTGATCTTTATGGTTGGACTCAAAGTGTCGGTGGCCAAATTACGGCACGTTTGAACCAAGATCAAGAGCACTTCTTAGTTAATCCATATGGTTTGTTGTATCATGAAGTTACTGCATCGAGTTTGATTAAAGTCGACATGCAAGGAACGGTCGTGGAACAAGGAACGACTAATTTTGGAGTTCACGTGGCAGGGTTTCAATTACACTCGACGATTCACGCTGCTAGACCCGATATCAAGTGCATCGTTCATATCACCACTCCGTCCGTTACTGCTGTTAGTAGGAAAAGTGTTGTTCGCCTTTTTCGTGCTATTCATACACTCCCGTTGAATATATATATATCACTTTGACTTATCTCATTCACAGATCTCATCGTTAAAGTGCGGATTGCTGCCAATCGGACAGGAGAGTATAGTAATAGGAGAGGTAAGCACGCATCAGTATATAGGTGGATCTTTTGAACCAGAGGAAAAAGAGAAGATAGCAAGAAACCTAGGTCCGATGAATAAAGTGATGCTGTTAACGAATCGCGGTGCACTCTGTTGTGGAGAAACCGTCGAGGAAGCTTTCTTCAATGTTTATAACATGGTCCTAGCTTGCGAGACCCAATTGAAATTGATGCCCGCTGGTTTGGATAATTTAAATCTCATTTCGGAGGAATCTAAGAAGGCTATATTTGAAGCCTCGAGAAAGCCACCTACACCGCAGCAAACAGTCCCGATCTCTGAAAGTACAGCTCTCGCTGAAAAGCTTGAGAAACGTTGGCGAATTGGTGGAACTGAATTCGAGGCGCTTATGCGGATGCTTGATAATGCAGTAAGTGTTTAAATTTCTTATTCCCTTCAGTCCTTCCGCTTCTTTTTTTGGAATGTAATGTTTTTTCGTCGTTTTCATTGATCAATCTCTCTCTCTCTCTCTCTCTCTCTCTCTCTCTCATACATCATACATCATTCGTATTGTTTGCAGGGTTTTCGAACCGGTTACATATACAGAAATCCGTTAGTGAAAGGAGAACCTCCGCGACCACGAAACGACGTTGAGGTGCCACCAGCAGTTTCATCTTTAGGTTATCTACTCGAAGAGGAAGAACTTTATAAACAGGGGTAAATATTAACGATATCACGATTAAAAACGATACGTCGATAGTTGTCGAGGGAAGCTTTTATATGTATTCTCTGTTTTCGTCGCAGGCTCTGGAAAGGTGGTCGTAAAGGCACGGATAGATCACGTTGGTTAAACTCGCCAAATGTATATCAAAAGGTCGAAATACTTGAAACAGGAACTCCTGATCCGAAAAAAATTACAAAGGTAGAAGTCATCACTTTTGAGAACAAAAATGAGTAGATGCAAAAATTATAGAATAGAAAATGAGAAAGCATCGTCACGTATGTATATGTGAATGATATGAACGGGGAAAAGAGAAACGATCCTTCTAAAAAATCGATGTCGTGATTCTTGAATATTTTACATTTATAATTGTCTAAAAAGTTATTTACTAGAAAGTAATTATCGGAGACATTCAACGAAAAAAGAGATTGTACGTGCAAGTTTTCAAAAATATTACTTCATATCTTTCGTTGAAATAATAAGAAAACGATGATGAATTGTATTGCTTAACTCTCTACTCGCCACATTGAATGCACTGGTATAGCATGTATTTGAACGACGGTAAACAGAAACCTTGTTTATAATTCCATAGCGACATTGTCATACTTCTGGCACATTCCAGCCTATGATAACTTATTAGATTCTATGTTGTGCAGTATATACACAGAGAGAAAAAAAAGGGAAAAAAATATA